GAAGTTCAGCCTGCAGCCGGCAGTGGACCGACACAAAAAAAACCCCAACTATTCCACAGAGAGTCGATTTACCACCACCTTGTGCCCCCAAAACCACCTCACTGTGATCACACACGTGCGACCGCTTGTGGAAACCAGGGCTCACGTGCTTGGGGTAAGGCGGGACGGGGCAGCGGCTGCACAGGGGGCCAGAGGTGTGGACCCAGGCCCTGCGCCTGGTGCCAGAAACTGGGACAGCCCTTTAACCTCGAGGGAAAGAGGGGCTTGCCCTTCAAATCAGCTGCTCCCGCGCATGGCCGGGGCCAGGCCTCCGTACTGCTTATACATTTCATATCTGTATTATAGATATGTATTCCGTATTATATATTATGCAATAATGTATATATATACACTTTGTAAATATACATGGTATGTATTTTGTTACTATATTTACATAGTATTTATTCACATATATATTTACTACATATTTTTTAATATATATATCTATACACCTGTAAGTACAGTAAATGTAACCCTCGTACCACAGCACAAAGGCAGTGGCATTGTTTTGGGAGCCTCCTCCTATGGAACTTGAACTGGTTCTGCATTCCAGGGGGATGGAGGACAATCAGAAATGAGTAATTTACACAACATTTTAGTACAAACAACTGGAGTCAGACTTTAATACAGCTTGAGAAATTACAGTCATGTTTTCCAGGTTTTCACTTAAACCTTTTAATAAATATTTAGCATCTTTATAAATGCTATGAAATTGTAATTTTAAAGATAAAAAGGTAAAAGCAGGCCTGTTAATTGGAAAAAGGAAGGTTCACCAAAAAGACATTTTATATGGACATGTTAATATTTGGAGGTTTCTCGAGGCACCACTTTAGGGAACAGTCTTTTCAAGCTGCTGTATAATCTCTTCTGGTTGCGGATGTTTCCCATGCTTCCTACATTTAGATGAAAAAAGCTTAGACACCTTTGGAAACCAATAAGGCAACATCAGCCACCTGAATCTTAAAAATACATTTTTAATGGTAAGGTTTTTGTCCCCTTTCCAACTGTACCATTTGAAACAAGTAGAAACGACATTGTTAGAGTCCTCTTAGTCTACTTTTTAGATCAACACTGTTGATCTTGCTGAGAGTTGCCTCTGTACATAGAAGCAGAATTTGTCTGTGCTGGGGTTAACACACGTTCTGGTGCAGGAACCTGTCTTCATCACTTAGAGTATCACTTTAATGTGTGAAAAAATACAGAGACTTGAGGCCACATGTGCTGAATAAACACATATATGCACTTGAAGAACTGCTTGGGCAATATACCTCAGTGGTTAATAAAGTACTATTTTTTTTCAATTTATAAAATGTAAATTACCTTTATCCATATTCAAACACCGAGTTTTTCATATAGTGAATTAAGAGATCAGTGGTCTAATTACATCTGCCATCAGTCATGCAAACTCCCACCATTATGATGCCATAAATAAGTCACCAATATAGTGAAGCATACTTTAGCATATTCATCATTTTGATTTTAGTGTTTTGATTTTTTTTTCCCCTAAATATTAAAATTCAGTTGCTCTCTGAACATTTTCAGTTATATTCAGAATGTGACATCCTGGGGAAGATTAAGATAATCTTTTTTCTTAGAAGAAAGGCTATCAGTCTGTGCAGCCCTGCTGCTGGGCATTTGATTTAGACTGTTAGGAACAGAACAGGAAGTTTCGGGGGGAAAAAAAAAATTCCTCTCTCATTTTAGATAAGTATCCCACGGTTATTTTTACTTTAATACAATCTATTTTTAAATATGCTTCTTGTGTCTTCTGCTGTCCTCAGAAGTCCCACGTGTCCTTTTAAGCACTGATACTTTTGCTGCAAAGAAATTCTCTTGGCTTCACTCAGGGCAAATTTTACTGGTGCTTCTTGACTCTTGCAACATTTCAGCATTCTTTGCACAATGTTTCTCTCTAAGCAAGCCCAGGTGTTATATGTATTTATTTATTTACATTTTAAATCTACATTTAAATCCTGAACCATATTTTCCTTGCAAATGTAATGCCATTAGTGATTATATATGGCAACCAATGACACAGAATTTCAGAATATTAAATTTAATTCCATTCAAATCAATCAATTTCACTGTTTCACTGTCCAGCTTTCACTGGGAAAGAACTTTTCACATGTAAGACATGTTCTGGTATGAGATACTCTTTACTATTTCCTCGTTGTTCACATGAGTGTTTTTACTTGCTGTTTCATACCATCTAAACTTTTCTGTTTCACAATGGTCTGTGATTATCTCAGATGTGAATGATATGCTTTTAATAGGTACAAAACTTGAGAATAATTAAGGCCTAGAAGACTATGTCATCATAAAAATTGCAGAAGTTCTGCCTAGGTACTGCTTCAAGTGTGGAGAGTTTGTTTAAGCTTGCCTAAGCTTTGATGGCAACTTAAAAAAAGCGGAAAAAAAAATACAGTCTAGCACAAACAGCTTCCTACTATTCAGTAAAAACAATCAGTTTTTCCAAGATACTCGTTTATGTTCCTAGTTCCTCTTAATAATCGAATTTTTAGCAAAACTGTCTGAAGTCAGCTTTTCCCAGCTATACACATTTATTTTCTGTGGGGAACACAGGAATAAAGTTTTGGGTTTTTTTTTGTTCCAGAACCCCCCAGGTTAGCAAACAAGCTCTGGACAGCAGTGCTGTATTTTGATACCTACGCACCGGAGTCCCCCCCGGCCCGGGGGCTGGAGTGAGCTATCTCCATCAAGCAGGCACCCGTTGTCAGTTCCCTGCCGCTCTTCCCACCGCAGCAAACCGAACAGTACCTAGTTCTGAAACAGCACTAGTTTGTAAGGACAGAGCAAAGCCCTTCCTTCGCTACAGATAAATGAGCTCTGCCTGACATGTTCTGCTGCTGAAACGCAGGACTGTGTGTCCTCTGTGAAATGTCTATTGTTTTGCCACGTTTATAGCAGGAAGTGAATCAGGAGACGGGGACATTTTAGGCAGAAGTTCTATTGTGAAGCCAACAGCAACAAAGTAGCTTTAGGGATAATACTGTTTCTTTTATTCTAATTAAGTTCCTAAAGCCATATAAAGAAGCTATTCTGTGGGAATCTTATTAATTCCTTCTCTGTCAAAGAATTAATAGGGAGAAAGGTTAGTGCCCAGGAAGCAAGCCCCACTATTCAACTCCAGCAATAAGCTCCTTCTACACTGATGCCATTATAACAATTCCTGTGGCTGTGCAGAGCTCGTCTATTTAATTCTGCACACAATACTGTCATTATGCCAGTGATCACTTGAGCAGAGGAAGAACAGTATTTAGGACTGAGACCCACATTTATTTTAGCTCTGCCGGGCAAGTTACTACACTAGCCGAAGTCAGAACTTTTGAAAACTGTGATTTCTGATAAGTTTTTCTCTACTGGAAGCCAGAACATTTTCTTCATCCTACAGTTAGATGCACTTGGAGGAACCACTGGCCTCGGGCCACGGTTAGTCACTCAGAACTAACAGCTTGCCTGCTTGCAGTCACCCAGATTTAAGCCCAATTAAGCCATCCCAGTCAGAAGTAAAACAGTGTTTAATCTTTTGGAGAATGAGGCTCTGGCAAAAAGATCTACCTTACCTTTGAGGGAGAGCATCCCCAGTGGTTGAACATCTACCATAGGTGTCAGCATCCCACCTTCGGCAGGTCCCCGAACACCCGCAGCTGAGGCAGCCCCGGGGGGCTGCACCCCACAGTCCCCAGCTGGTAGCAGAGCATGCCCCAGGCTGCTGCTCGTGCCTACACCACCTCGCACCAGTGCTCCTGTCCTCCCGCAGCAATGGATTTAGTTCGGGACGCAGGAGTGAAAAGTTTAGGATTTTAGCCCTGAGTAGGCTATTAAAAGTTTTCTTTTCCAGTTTCTCTTCCTCCTTACCAGACTCTCACCTTTACCTTTCCAGGCTGTGCACAAACAAGTATCTCGCAGGGGGATACCCACACACTACCCCCCTCCTCCTCCTCCCCCAGAACTATCAGCTACAACTGCTTTTGTTTCCTTGTCATCCTCCTGGTTCTGAGCCTGCAGACAAGCTGCTTCATGCACAGAGCACACTGTCATTCCAGCTGACACAGAACATGACCTTTCCTTCTTCAAATTCCTGCAGAGAACCATTGTATTTTTCAACAGATCTTATGCGGAGGAAAAAAAAAAAAAAAGATATTACAGAGCAGTGGAGGTTCCTAATTTTGAGTTTCTCAAGAACATTTCACTTATGTACATGAGGCCTCAACTTCTTCACAGGAAAGGAAGACTTCTTGCTTGCTTACAGGTTTTTTTGGATTGGTTTGTTACTGGTAATCAGAAAGCCCATCTTAGTCATCTAGAATTTCATGTTATTTCAGTTTTGTTCCCTAAAACTCCCTTTAGGTTTTGCCTAAGTTATGCCTTCAAACTTGAACCCCTGCAAAAAGCCTGTTGGAAAAGGAAACAAGGGGAAAGCAGTCTGATGTATCTCATCACTAGTTACTGGTTTTGAAAAGTGGAACAAGAGCAGGAGGAGGGTGGCTGTACCTCCAGTCTCTGACTTGCTCTTTAACGCAGCACCTGAGCTCAGGGCTGGGTCAGCAGGACAGTGCCTGGAGATGCAGCTGTGTAAAATGTGACACCAGCATCTGAAACTGAATTCTACTTCTGAAATCAAGTACTACATAGTCAAAGGTTCTATCAGAGCTTTCTTCTTTTTTTCCCCCCCCCAATTCTAACACTTTAATGTTTTGAGGTAGTAGTGATAGCTTACTAGGTATTTCACAGAGATATTTCATCCTCAAGTGTTTGCAGTATGCTGTCCCAATACTACAGTGGCCAGAGAGAAGGATTTGCTTGTTCCAAATTGACAGCTCTTCTACAAAAATATTTTCCATATAAAATACTGTTCTGCCAATACTATATGTGAATGAAACATACCTGCTATACGCTGGAACTGAAGTCCTTATTATTGGAAAGCAACAGTAAGACTTCCACTGATTTAACATGATGACGATGCTTCCGAAGCCAGGACTGGAAGAGAGGCATTATTATACTGAGCAGCAAGAGTACAAGCTCAAAGTTCCAAGCCACTAGAAAAGCCCTTGACAATTAAATCGGGATATTCAGTATTAGTAATATCACAGGCAGTGCCATTGCTGTTCTGTCTTGTCGCTGCCGGTTTGGGAGGCCCCGCTCCAACTTGCTGTAAAGACACCGTCACCAACCCAGAGTGCCACCTACAAACAAGGTTGGAAGAACAAGCGTGTTTAGATGCTCCCATCAGGTTTTGTTCATTGTGAACTTACAGCTAAGAAGTATCCCCTGGGCTAAGTCTCCAAAGCCACCCACAGCCATAACTCCCAATAACCCAGCCCTGGTTTTGCTTTCACATTAAGCCTTCCCAAACGGCAGACTGACAGTCACTGCACCTCAGTGTCTCGTGACTTCTACATACCCAAAATGTAAAGCAGTGTCAAGATGACTTTTTCACCAGAATCTGCATTTCTCAGTAATACCTCTTCCCTATACAGTCCCAGCAGTGTAGGCTGCACAGACAGAAAAGCAGACAAAAGGAAGGAGTAATCATTCTACTGCAGCCATCCTTGCAAGTGCTACTGTTGTGACAAGACTACGACAGCATCCTTTGTCCAAGCTACTAAAGAAATTAATTACAAGCATTGTAATGAAAGTGGGAGAAAGCTTCATCTTCTTTCCTTCAGAGTACCCTTGTTGTGCTGCCCACCTGTAAGAAGTAGAACCACACTACAAAATACTATTTACTACAGTCTTGGGACTGTCACTACTTCCTGCTTTACCCCCAATGGGCAGTTGAGGGTAAGGCAGGAAACATCTGCCCACTAAATATCACATCATTAAAACAACACTTAATATCTAACCACCCGTCTACTTCGGAGTAGCTTACCTGTCAAGGCACAAAGATACAAGCAAGATTCAGATTGGGAACTAAAAAAACAAAAGGAAACTTTCACACTGAGGAACTAAAACACCCAAACGCTAAACCCCAGCCCCAAAAACTAGGAGACCTGGAGTTCAGATGAGCTTTATCACCCTGCAGTGACCATATTTCTGAGCCTTGTTTCAAGAGCCAGCTTGAATGTGCTTTTATAGAGGCCACTGGAAGATTCAAGTCTGATGACCACAGAGTCTGTTGGATTTTGGTCTTTAATGGAATATACAAGTTGAATCAAGATGAGGATCACACATGGAGTGTGTCGTTCACTCTACACGTTTCATTCCACATTGCAAGGAGGAGTCCCAGATCCTGTGTAAGGATACTGGCCAGCCCGCCCCACGTCTGCCCCCTCAGCCCAAGCTGCTCTGTGTTCTGGCTCAGTGTCATGGGCGCCAGCTGTCCCACGGCCCACAAGGGCCTCCAAAAGCAGGAAGAGGACTGACGTTTCCTGTGGGGCAGGTGGTCTGTTCTACACGTTCAGGAAACTCGGCATTTTTGGGAGAGGTCAGGTTCACTTCGCACACACCTCGGTGGCCGGCCACGTAGGAGGGCAAGCACACAGCCTGCGGCGGCGAGCAGAGGCAGGGTCCGGGCCAGAGGGCAGCGGGGCTACTGAGCATCTGCGCTCGAGCCTCCTCCATCCTTCTCTCCACAGTACTCCACCATCCAAAAAAAATTAAGAAAGGGAGGTGGGGGAAGCAGAATAAAGACAACCAGAACTGCACGTTGGCACTGATAAATAACTGCCTGAGAACTGGTGGAAATGCAGGTGGAAGCAACAGCCAAGCACAGACCCAACTGGTTTGTTTATATGCTCTGCTGTTAGAAGACTGAAATTTTTTAACTTTTGCTCTATACGTTTTGGTAGCTAATCATCACAACCTTTGTTATCAAAGCCACCAGAAATAGCTTACCACGTGCAATATTTTTGTTATAGTCCACACAAAACATATAAAAATATACAGATACTGTACTTCTATACATGCATAAATCCATGGAGATATTCTGGTGGAAATAAGGATTTATCATCAGCTTCAAGCAATGAGATTTATTACAGTATGTAGTTGTTCTGCCTGGTTTTCTACAGACATATATTATCCTGAAATAAAAATGAATGGCTAGTGAAATAATGCATCGAAATGCCATTTGAAACGCTCCCTCGGTCCATGAAACCTTCTCCCTTTAAAGTGCGAGCGGCTCAAAACACTGAAAGGAAATAAAACCCCCAGCAACCTCAGCATATGGAGTTGCTTTTAAATTTCTTAATACTTTTATAAATCACGAGCTGACAATAGGCTCAAGTCCCTGTATTGCTGTTTTCTCTAGTTGCTCTTCTACGAGCAAGAACCTGAACCATCGTTGTGACAATACTAAGACTGACCAGGACCAGCCCTGTATGGGCTCCACTGCTCACCTCTTACAGGGAAGCCAGGGATAGGTTGCTGTAGGAAGCCAATTCTAGACAGAACAGCAAGGGGTTTCTTTCAGAATGCATAACTTGAGTTGTCATCCTTAGAAAGAAAGTTCTTAACCATTACTGAGAGAATATTAGTTTATACAAAGTATACATATATATAAAAAAAGTATATATACATACATACTCTCTCTCTCTCTATATATATATATATATTTATTACTGTAACAATCATCAATTCAGTGTATGTCTAGTACAGCCCCTAGTTTTAGAGCGTTTGTTTCACTTCTCTTCAAAGGCTGTATTGTCCTCTTTTAATATTTCCCACATCCAGGGTAGCAAAATAGAGGAATCTGTTCAAAATCTGCATGTTTGTCCATGATGTCTTCCTACCAGGAGTGCAGCTGTTTTTTCTGCTGTCACTTCCAGGTGGTCAGCACAGGCTTTCCTGAATCTCTGGCACGATTTCCTTTCACTCCAGTGGATTGCCCGGGACGACTTCGCAAGTCACGATCAGGCCCGTCACTCTGCGCCATCTCTTCATCATACCTGAAAATAAGACAAGCCCTTCGATGCCTTGTCCTGATCCTCACTACACAAACAAGAGTGGGTCCTGTGTTCTATTTTGCTTGATATTTGGCACTGAAATTTCACACAAGCTGTTCTGCAGACAGGTTTACACACGCACAGTTTGATATGCAGCTGTTACTCAAGGAAATATACTACCACGTGATGTTACAGATCAACAGAAATACCTTCAGCTACTTTTTGAAAGAAACAAATCATCTGGCAGCTTTGGTTAAAATCCCGAGTTTGTGAAAGTTTAGGCTTGTGAAATCTGCCATGTACTTCTGTATTTCTCCTCTCTATGCAGGCCTGTGGTCAACAGGAACATCAGGCTGCTGGCAGTTTAATAAAGTCTTCAGCTGTTGCTTCAAACAGGGGATGGTTAGCTGCAGTGTAAAAACCCTGCTGTTGCATCAGCGAGCCAGCAGGGAAAGAACAAGGTGAACAAACAGTCTGCTTAAATTAAATGCATTTGATGACATGTATTTTGTAACACTTAACCACAGTGACAAGTAGTTCTTTAAATATCTAAGCCCATTGTGGCCTCAGATAACCTCAGTATATACTTACTGCTCAGCTGCTACACAAATTCCAAGCAGGAATTAGCTACAGATGCATAATTATAATTATCAAAAGATAATACTACAATATTTTGTAGAACGCTGTTGTATAGGTATTCACAGCTACCAAGTATATATCATTCACTAAAACTTAAATCATAATTCAGCCAACACTGACATTCAAGTGTCTCTACCAGTCTATAAAGGGAGTGTTTAAGGTCAGTGTGAGGTGGTGGATTGGCTCTGTACATCACCACGTTCCTGACGCACTGAACAGCTGTGCCACTGCTGCTCCAGGACCTGTCTGAACAGCTCAAAAATGCCATAAACTACCATCAGGATGGTGTTTAAATCTGTGTTCCTCTGCGTGAGACCAGTCAGTCCTGGATACATTCTTCAGATACTCCAGTATAAAGATCTCTCTAGATCTCCTTCATCCCTCTCTTTGTCATGCCAATGGGGGAATTTAAAAAACACCTGACAACTCATTATTATTATGTCCTTGAATTACAGGAGTCAAGAGGAATCATTTCTATGAACTGAGAGAAAATCTGTATCCATTGGCTATTTTATCTCTTTAACTACCATCTGTATATCACACTCAATCCCATTAAAGTTCTACAGGTGTAGAAGACAAACACCCTTTGCCTCCATCCCTCAAAGGGAGCTGCTGGAAGTGCAAGGGCTGCAGGCAGGGGCTCGTCCGAAGGTAACAGACCCTCGGAGAGAGGTCTGCCCTCCCCCCTCCACACTGCTCTTGTGCCTCCAAAAGAGCAAAGCAGTACTTTGTGCCCACTTTTCACACCAGAATGAAGTTCACCTCATCTCTGCAGTCTATATTACACATCAGAAAAGCGAGGTGGCTGACAGACACTTGCATTTATATAGAACACTGATAAAACTTACAAGACTTCATAATTGCCAAGAACCTCTTTTGGTGGAGATTTATTCCATTTACAGTCTGGGATTTCCCCATTAGGCACAGCAATGTTAAGTGTGTCATTAATAAGATTATACTTCAAGATGCGATCATTTGCAGTACTGGAGGTAAGAGAAGGGGAAGCATTAACCTACAAAAATTAAAAAAAAAAGTCAGCATCAATTTTTTGAGCAGCATACAGTTCTCCAAACGGCGCGTGTGATCACTATAGGTACTGTTTGGGAAATTAAGACTCAGCGTCTCGAACACATCTTTCAGTTCCTCAGACACTGGAAGGAAACCCCCACTGGGCATTTTTCTTTTTACTTAAAAAAAAAAAAAAAAGCACCACCCCACTAAGTGTCTGCAGTGTCAGCCTGAAGATTTTTGTTGAGACTAGATTCACCAGGGTGAAGCAGACTAGACACAGATTTTTGTTTAATTTTCTAAGTTTACACAGATACAAACCCCATAAATTTCAGTGCTTACAATGTGCCTGGTTCGCTCCAACAGTGTAATATGCAGGAATCTGTGGGTTTCTTCTAGGTAAACAGTTTTTATTCATGTTCTTAATCTGAGTTCTCCCCTGTGAGCTGGGGAAACACATACATGATCTCTATTCGAAGGACTACACTGCATCTAATTTTAATTAAAACATCTTTTGCGTTCCACATTCATTATGGAGAGGTGGTATCAGAACAATAAGACTTTTTTTTTAATAAAGTCCATTTATGTTTGATCTCTCACTTTCAATTAGATTGAGAAGGAAGAGGGCTGGATAAAATGTATGTTGAACATACAATTAATACACTGAAGAGAAAATTATGGGGAAAAAAAAAGCACCTTCCAAATACCCCCCTGTGTGTGCCCCTTTTCTTTCCTCTCGACCTACAACATTAAGGCTGTGGCAGCATTTAAAATTCAAGCCTGATGTTACGCTCTGTGGAGCCAATGCCCGTTTTCCAGCTACTGACACAGTACCCAACAGGGCTGCTAACACCCAGACTGTCTTGGAAGTCCAGCTGTGTGGATGCACAGAACAGGAAGCCACAAACAAAAAGAAACACCAAACAAATAGGAAACAAAAGCACGTGGTAGCTTGGTTGCCACATGGCCTATTTTACTCTCCAACATTTTCCTTAATCCACTTACCTGAGGAACAAAAGATATTGTTTCAAAGGAGGAAAGGCTACATTGAAATCTGCTTAGTTTTATTCTGTGAAATGAGAAAGAAGTTTTTTTCCTGTATTTTATGTAACTTTACCTCAATTAGCCACGGTTTAAGCTTGTCATCAATGATAATGTCATATCCATAACACTCAAAGCAGTGTTTATCATTATTCATTACAGGCTAAAAAAAAAAAAAAAAGTTATTAAAACCAACAATTCAGTAACTAACCTGATTACACACTTTGTTTGCTAGAAATCATGTGCAACTACATTATGAATCTTCTACAGCAGTTTTGTGTCGTAACTCCAATGCAAACTTGTTAACTAGTAAGTTCAGGATTGCCTCTTTTTCCAAGCTGTAATACTTCAATATTAACGATTGCTCAATGCCAAGTACTGTGACATTAATTTTTCATTATGTTTCCAGCATGAAAATAAAAGTGTTTTCACATTTTGCAAAAGTAATAACGATATTTAAAGGCTGCATGCGTCAGGAGAAACCAGGAAGTTTTAAAATTTGCATAACACAGCTTCAGATAATCGTGAATCCTTTAAACTTCAGAATAAGGAGACTTATTCGAAGACATTTCTTTTATTATGCTGCTGTAACTATGCAGAAATTTGAGGTCGAAAAATTACCAGACACATTTTAAAATTATAATTGGCTCAAGTCAGCTATGGTCCCAAAAGCCAAGAGACAAGGACCGAGCTGTGCTTAGAGGATCAGCAGCCTCCCAGCATCCGCTCGACTTCAGTCTGCACAGAAAGACTTCTGTGCAGATCTCATCAGGTCTTCTACAGAAACCTTTGTGAGGTTAGTGGGATGTCCTCCCCTCGACTCATAATGAAGCTTTTCAGTTCTTCGGGGCGTGAAAGGGGAAGGAGCAGTGAGCCTCAGCCAGGCGAGCAAGGTGGCTCATGGCGGTGCCAGGACCAGCCGACGAGGTGACAGGGCCCTGCACTGGGCACGGGGTGGCCCATGGCACCAGGCAGCCCTCCCGATACCCCGGCTGAGCCACAGAGCCACACCAGGCTGTGACTCAAACACCACTCACTCTCGACCAGAGGACTGGTTGCTACTTTTTTTTTTTTTTTTAAAAAAAAAGAGCTCACAATAACTACATGTCTCGTGTCTAAAAGAGGTGAAAATAAGTTATGTAACTCTGCTGAACTGACAGCCTCACGTTTCTTTGATAAATCATCCTCCAGAGCTGTATTTTCTTTGACACAGTTGTTACTGCTGAAGTGACGTCACACACCTTGGCAGAGCTTAGCACTATTCACAAGGGCAGCATCGAGTCCTACGAAATAGTTCAGAGAGCCCTAGAGGTGAGAGATTCATTCGCATCTGCACCACGCACCTGTAGCTCTCCCACCCACCCAGGACTGAGGAATGAGGAGAGAACAGAACTGCAGAAATCACCATCAATATCATTCCTCAAAGAGCAGGAAATAGATTTTGGGGGGGTTGATGGCAAGCTCACTTCCCTGGTTTTGGGAAGCCTGCAGCCGTCGTGCTGTGGCTGGAGCAGGCCAGGAGCAGTACTCACCGCCACAGCCTTCAGTGACTGCACGATTATCCAGTGAATCTCATCAAATAATTTGCTCGTGACTTCCTTTCCACGGGTGCTCTCCAGATACAGGCGTAAGTTACTCACTGTCCACTTGCCTCCATGGATGTGATTGTAATCGTCCTGAAGAGTGAAGGAGTTCATTCAGCCCCAGATTTTGAAGGCGTTCAGCAGTTTCGATTCAATCGAACAAAAGCCCACTTATCCTTACATACAAGTACTGCTCTAAAAACAAACTCAGCAAATAGTTTTTACTCTATTTTACAGCTTATGAACACTTCAGCTTTACTCTGAACTGCCCTCTAGATAAACAACTGTTTTTATTATAGCTGTGTATGTTTATATCAGACCTTGTAAATCAAGTCATAAATCTTTCTTGGAAGAAAAAAACAACTGATAGTTTGACAGTTTTATGGTAAAACATAATTTGTGATTTGGAAATATAAGTTTTAAAATGTGAAAGGAAAGAATTGAACTCTTTCCTCCTCTGGGAATAAGGGAGAAATAATTAAGTGAGCAATAGCTAAATTTCACAGAAGTTAACTGTTTTAAAATGCAGCACTTGAAAGTGCTTGTCTGTGTTTATTCATGACTTGTCTGTTTCCCAGAAGGCGAACACAGGCGCTGCCTAACGGTGTTACTGCAACAGTCACATTCCAGAGATCCGTGAAATGACATCCGGATTATTTCTAAAGTAATTCAGTATTTCAATATAGAAAATATACTAAATGCTACTGAAACAGAGCAGGGCGAGAAAGGAGGTTACCTTCTGTTCATCTCTTCAGAGTCTATCAAGGCTCTGGACTACGTTATCTTTAACGGGAATGACAGGAACAAACTGAGGGTGTTCTCGCTGGTGGACACACATACACATTCAGCCCTCACATACCTCTCCAGACAAATGCTTTGTCCCTTCATAAAGGTTCTCCTCAGAGCATTTCTAAGAATTAATGATTGTATGGCTGCTAAGTTATAAAACACAGAATGCGTAGAGCAGAAAAAAGTTCTCAGAGGAATGAAATCTGTCATCCTCCAAAACAAGGTCAGAGGAGCCTCGTCTATTTTTGGGCTTTTTTCTCCAGCTCTCTTCTTAGTAAGTTTCGAAAACTGGACAAATAAAGATCTGAAACGGTTCTCAGGACTGGCTGCATGGAAAAAAAATGTCTTGAGACCAGATTCCAGCAAGGGAAGAGATCAAAGTTTCAACCCTCTTTGCATTTCAGAACAAGTACTCAAATCAAAATGGATTGCAACTGGGTAGAGCTTTATGCAATCGCAGCTGTTTAATTAAAAATATTAGAACCAAGCAGAATATTGCAGGCTACACAGAGGATCACTAACTGAAAACAATGAAGTACAAGAATTACTGTTGTTTCATTCATATTGCACACGCAGGGAGCGGTGAGTTAGCGCTGTACTTGCCAGCACAAACATGATGTTGGGTGTCCTGACTCACCCTCCTCCCTTCACTTCACCCTTCCCCTCTCCCCGACATTGCCTCGTACACGTTTCCAGTGAGGGAGGTTTTCCCAGGAGCTTGTAAGGTACAAACACACAGGAACTCTACAGTTCATGTAGGGCTTAGGGTGGAGATTAACAGCTAGAACTTAAAAGAGTTTTTCCAGACCTAATCATAATTTTGATAAATTACTTGACATTTCAAATTAGGTTCTTCTAAAACTGTACAGCCTAAGCGCCTCCAGAGTTACAGACACGTTTAGAACGGGACAGACCAGAGGGACAGAGCAGCATTACATTAAACTTCCACTTTTCTGCAATGGTATTAATGATATTAATGGCTCAGAATTTATAAAAAGCTTTTCAAATACTCTAGTAACGACTTGTTATTTGCAAGCTGCTACTTCTCTATCCACTTCCAGTGCCCCTTCTTCTCCCAGTGTGACCTCACCGCTACCTTCACTTCTGCTCTTACATGAGAGAAATCTCAGAGGCCGTTCTTTAGCTGGTGGAGAGGATGAGAGGACGGGCAGTAACAGAAGAGGCACCACGTCACATCCCTCGCCCGCCACTGCTGCTGGTGACAGCACTGTCATTTATGCTCCAAGTTGTGTGGGGCCACCTCCCACCACAACTAGTGCTCCCTGTGAAACCCCCCTGTGTTTGGAGCACTTCACAAATCAGCACACCTGAGCAAGAAAATGATTGTAGTACTGAAAAATGCCACATTTTGACACTTCCCCTGGTTTCTAACTACCACTGTAAGTGACATTTATAATCCACACTGTTGTTACAGAAACACCCAGATAAAAGCAGTTCTGCTGTGCTGCGCATCTCACAGAGAAGTAAGAGACGAGGCACGTTTAGCAAGGTCACAGTTTAAGATGTGTTACAGGAATCTCGTGAGTGGTTGGACTGGATGATCTTCAAGGTTTTTTTCAACCAAGATACTCTGAGTGTACACATACACACGAATACACACGTGTGAGCATATGCATGTGTGTATCTACATACATTTATTTTCCATAGTCTTAAAATAAAACCTATGAAATGAGGAAGTGGGACAATAGAGTTTTAATTACTGTACCAGAGGCATGGTTTATAAATCACAGACATCCGCTAAAAGCGCAGAAGGGACAGTCATCACCATCAAGTGAATTCCCCAAAGGAACAGGGCTTGGGCAGTGACAGTGTGAGCCCGTCTGTCCAGGGCACCCCTGACCCACTGCCCTTCCCTCCCACCGCGGAGTTTCACCCTGTTTTGATGCAGGGAAGTGCTGTCAAAGCCATCAGGTTTCCACACGGTTTATGAATTCAGTGGCAGATGACAGGACAGAACTGCTCTGTGAGCAGAGCTCTGTCTTTGTCCATTCAGGAGGAAGCCAGCAGCTGCACAGACAGCAAACATTTATCTCCAAGCTCGTAACCACACATTCCCTTCATTACCCAGAGAAGGAAGGGGGGGTGGGAGGGGGAAACATAGGAAGAAACTGGAAAATACTGTGCTGAATAAGTGCTGGAAATAGGAAAGTTGGAGGCAGGCAGGCAGGCAGGGAGGCAGGCGATACTGCAGTGCTGTTATAAGCAGGCTTCATCAGCCCTACTGCTCACAGGATCGGTCACTAAGTGAGCAGATCAGCGTTCAGACAAAGGCTTGAGGAAAGCCCCGGCTTTCACCTGCTCCTGAAGGCACCACAGTCTGTGACAGAGCTGCAACTCACCACCTTGCATACGTTTGATCTGCGGTCTCCTAAAATTTATTTACTCGTCCGTTCAAGTTGAAGTATTTTAATTGCAAGATGATGAAGGGCAGGACAAACAAAACCTTTCTTTATTCCAAGTTTTTGGGACAATTTAAGAAAATCAGTCTTTTCTTAAAAAGCACAAAAGAAGCAGTACACTTACCCCGTGTTTCTGAATGGCAACATTTGTAAGATGTACAAACATGTTATCCAGTTCACTGGTACTTGGTGTGTATTTTACTGTGCAAAACCGGCAAAATCCAAGTTTATACCTTAAATGCAAAAAATCATTAAAATGTGTTAAACCCCAGTAAGAAATAAGGAAAAGAGCATCCTAGGATACCATGTACACGTTAAACTTCATTGTGCAACAAGCACAGCATTATTTTGACTACATTAAACATTCTCTCACAACAAAATACAAATACAGGCAATCTTACATGTAACATCTCAGTGGACGATACGTAGATACTAAAACATACAGACGAAGATCAAATTTCTTTCCACCAATAAGTAATGGATTGTTGATATAGAGAGAAATCACATAGGCTTCTTTGGAAGACTGAGCTATAAACCTGAAAAACACAAATTGTGTTTCAGAATGTGACAACTATAACAATGTGATCTGATAAGTCTTTTTCTTTAGAAGCCATCTGTAAATTTTGGATTGACTGAAATCTTGCATCTTTTGCCAAGACAATGTATAAAGTTGTAGTGGTTAATAACACACACTTGGTATCAGGCATTATATACCAACAAAAGAAGCGAAAAATATGAAACAGATGATCAAGACCAATTAAGCACTGCAGCTCAGTTTTGAAGCTAACAGGTGCTGAGTGGGCCATTCCGAAGGCAGCTCCACAGCCCGGCCTGTCCTGGAGAGCACTGGGAGCTCAAGCCAAGAGTACGTGTTGTGTTACCTTCTTTAGTCAAGGCCTTACGCTCCTAGAATCTTGGTATTTATGCTCAGTCTGCAACTGCAAACCACTGTGAAAAGCTAATGTGCAGACCGAGACATTCTTCAGATTCCAAGACAAAGGGGGGGGGGGGGGAAA